ATCAAGTTACTGATTCATTTGAGCCAAGATACAGGAGGTGTCTGAAAATCGTAAATTTCAAAAACTCCCTGTATATCAAAAACGAAGAGGGCTATGAAAATTTGGTTTGCGCCGTTGTAAGTTTCACAAAAAAGTAGCTCAGGTTCGCGAAAGCCGCAACTTTCTATCTTTCATAATAACTGAGATACCCTGCAAACCCATCGAAATTTGGACACCCTGTACATGTTTGATACCTTTTTTGTTGAAAATGTATTACGACACGATTACAAGAAAGTGTTGTTGATGCTATCTGCTGAAGACCCACAGTTTCCTTAATAACTTTTATAATGGAACGCGTTTAACACGATATAACGATATCCTGGAACCTTTGAAATGGAATTTGTCAACAGCAAAATTTTAGAAAAGGGATACTAAACGCTTATCTTGACTATAGGATCATCATTCTCAGGAGCAGTTAGCACAGACCAGCCGGTGCAAAATTGATTTTTGCCTAGCGGGGTTCTTGGTAGCCGTTGTCGTATCGATTAACTTATTTGCGTTGAAATGAAAGGGACCAGAAAGTTAAAACTAGGTCTAAAGGAAAGAAATCCGGTTACGAATCACAACAGGGCTGCTAGAAAGGTGGGAGTAAGAGCGAAAGAGGCGATGGACAACGTTTTATATCTGACCTGACATAAAGACGATGATATAAATTGCTAAGCGACACAGTTGCTCACAGACCACGGGTACGTCCATAAATACCTGAATACGATTGGTGAGGTCGACAGCCTTACGTCTTGATATGGGTATTGAATTTACCATTCTGCATTGACGAGACACCAGCTCGCTGCAGGGATTACTTCAATAACACCCCATAAAATAGTAGCTTCAATGACTAGCAACAAAACAGATTCGATGAAGATCTGGGTGTATAATACAATAGTCCATTATGAAATCATTCTCAATACATACATTTACGGAGTGTTTAAGAAGTTCGAATGCTTGTCCCAACAGAGGGATGATAGAGGATTTCGAATTATTAATGGACAAACAAAAAGCAATAAGTTTAGATCAGAATAAATTAGAGATTGTCTATCTAAGTTACTCCCAGAAAAACCAAAGTATTCAGGTCGTTAGAAAATATGAAAGTTGAAATAGATACTGACAGTGTAAATCAGACATAATATTAGTTCTGAAATTGAAGAAATCCTTAAACAATTAACAACTCAGAAGCTATAAAAAAAGAATTTCTGAAAAGATCAGTTACCATCGCAGAGGAGTTGGAATGGATCGAATACAGCTAAATGATAAAGGTTTAGAAAAATCCAACGATCCATTGAAAAACAATAGTTTCCCTTACTCTTATGTAAATTGAAATCCGAAATAAATTTAAGGTTATATCAAAATAATTCTCACCACCATCTGCTCTTCATCGCCAGTCTCTTTTCATTAGTTCCATTGTATCTCTAATTCATAATATATTATATTGGCTATCATACTGTCCCAGCACATCTTTTGCCTTCCTCTGCCTCTCTTGCATGGTGTTCTACTTTACCATACTTACTTAACAGTTACTTTGTTTGGCAGTCTTTGTAAATGGCTTCACCAACCCAAATGACTCTCTTGTATTAATAATTCAATAGGTTGTATATTCAATTGGCTTCTGATGGATTCATTGCAGATTTTACCTAACTTCGTGTAGCCAAGATTTTTTCATAGGTATTTCACTTCTTCTGCTGTTCTGTTAGCACTTGTGTCTTACAAACGAAGGTTAAAATTGGTCTATACACTGACTTTTCTACTATCGTTATGTCATCGGCGAAACCGCATTCAGAAACTTTTACTGATCATGACAAATCGTGCTTTGCTATTCTCGTGTGTCTGTTTAGCAATTTTATCCATAAATGTTATGTCTTACACCACACAAGTCAAACTCGAGGCCGATTCTAAGCGTTTTCACATTGACCTTGACCTCTTCATTTTAACGGAGTTTGTAAGCTCGATTAGCAATAGCTCACGACTCAATGGGTTTACCCCAAGGTCTATAGAACATAAGGTTACCCAATGCCGATTCTCCTCTTCTGAGAGGCAAGGTGGGTCAGTGACGTAGCTGGTTCTATGAACAACACAACACGATACGGGGTTTAAATATTTTATATAGACTGTACCACAGTCTATCTTTTACTCAACTCTTTACTCTGACTGTATCGAACCAGTGACGTCGATAATCGATACTACAGAGGCATAGGGAATTAGGTAACCTTATGTTCTATAAACCTTTTGTTTACCCGGGCTTGCGGTTACTCAAGTCGCCCGTTCTCCGAGTAAACTGGTGTCATCCATGAAAATGTCGTTCCTCACATACCAAGATGCGTAGAGAGCCATACGGACCACCCAGTTTTGAATAACTTGAAGTCTCTCTATATTACAGTCCACCGCTGTCGCCTAAATGGCAGATGCGTAGGTCATCGTAGGTCTGATAACAGCCTTGCAGACTTTGATCTTGCGAGCAGAATCAAGCTTATTTCGCTTCAAGCAGCATTACGTAGAAAACCGCCACCATCAGTCGCCGTGAACTGTGACGGAATGTATATGAGAACCGCAAGATAACCGGGCGTCCATACTGAGTCCCAAAAATGCTTGGTTTTGTGGCGTCAGGGGATGACTCCTTCGAAGATGGTCAATTGTACAGAGCTGTCGTATAATAATAATAATAATTTATTGCCGCAATAACATATTACAATGTCAAACAAAAACCAGAGAATAGCAAATATACAAGGTGAGTCAGAAAGAATGGGAAATCCGAATACCGGAGACACTAGACACCAAAATATGACGATTTAACCTAACATGTCTTATACAAATGTCGGTGGTTTTGAATACACATTGTGTTGAAAGTTAAATTTTTATTTCGAAATTTCTTGATAATTTTGAAGGTTTTTGTACTATTAACATAAAATTTGGTAGTTAGATGTTTTCGAGCATGAGAAATACGAATTTGATATTTGTTTTGCGATTACTTGTAGAGGGCGCTAGATACACACTGTACTTTTGAGATATCAAGTCATGACTATTTTGTCAATTGAGGTATGGTGAATTAGAACCAGAAATCTGAAGCAGTTTTCAATTCTGCACAAAAAAGGTACTCTTGCTTACATTATCTAAGTCTACTGGTTTCCAAGTTATCTGCTTTTAATTGTTTCAAAGTAATTTTAAGGTTGTTTTAACCCAACTTTGCTTATGTTAAAAAATAAATATTTTAGAAGAAAAAATACATTTAAACATTTAAAAGTAAATAATTCGAAAACCGATAGACTTAGACAATTTCAATAAGAGTACCTTTTTTATGTAAAATTGAATGCTCTTTGTGATTTGCAGTTCTTATTGGTCGTAGCTGTCGAGCTAAAAAACTAATGATTTGATTTATCAAACGAGCAGCGTGTATCTAGCGCCCTCTACGAGCAATAACAAACCAAGTTTCAAATTCGTATTTCTCATGCTCGAAAACATAAAACTACCAAATTTTATGTTAATAGTACAAAAACCTTCAAAATTATCAAGAAATTTCGAAATAAGAATTTAGCTTTCAACACTCTATGCCTCAAAAACCACTGACATTTGTATAAGAGATGTTACATTAAATCATCATATTTTGGTGTCTAGTACCTCCGGTATTCGGATTTCCCATTCTTTCTGACTCACCCTGTATAACATACAAAATATTTGTAGCTTAAAAAATCTTCAATAGAATATAATGGTGTCCAGTAACGCTTATTTTAATACCTATTGAAACCGTTACTGTAGTAGTATCCGTATGTACAGGGGAGGATGGTTAAACAATTTAATGTCCTAGAAAACAGCGTTGTCACAAGACAACGCTGTCTTTTTTAACCAGTGCATCGGTTAATCGGTCCTTTTCTTCGTCCTATTCTCGAGAAAAGCAATGCCGTGTTCTTCCCTGGATGGATCTCAGTTCTGCAGATTCGTTACCACGTCTCCATCTTCTGCAGAAACTGTTGGAGTCTATTCTCGACAGTATCTACATTTCGCGATCGGCTGAAGATGTAGACGTCGTCCGCAGTTATCGCCAGGTTGACGTTCAGTACCTATGGTTCACCATTCACGAAGATGTTGAAGAGCGGAGGAGAAAGTGCTTGCTCTTGTGGAACTCCAGCTGTTATGGTCCTAACTGTAGATCGGCAATTTTATAGGTATTGAGTAGCTAGGTCAATGCCCCTTCCAAGAACTAAGATTTTCTGGGTTTCTTCTCTTAGCCAATACGTTTAGGTTATTTAAGGGCATCAGAAACTCGCCCCTAACCTACTGTCATCAGTTCCATAATGAACATTCGTTGTACGCCATGTATTCAGGTGACATAGTCTTCCAGGATTTGTTGGCGGAAGGAGCAGCAGAAATTTGTTTTCATCGTACTTTTGATCTTTATCGGCATTCAATTTTGTTTGAAAGTCATCCACAGATGATAATAAAATACTTTCTTGGGATGTATGAGCGTCTTTAACTAACTTTTTCTTTTCCATTTTGTTTAGTGGTAAATATTTGCCGTTTTTAATTGAAATTTTATATTAAAACTTTAGGAGTTATAATGATTTTGAAAATAAGCACTAAACTGTAAATAAATAACAAAATTAATGAAAAATGTTACAAGTGGAGAAATAACATATCGTAACAAATCAATCAATAATTCAATGACTACAAAAAATATATATACAAATCCGACATATTCATAAATATTAATAAAAATGGGATGGATTAAATCAAATGTACGTCATAATATAACAATAATCTTTGACCTAAGTAAAATCTAGATTAAATAAATTAAGTTTAGATTAAAAATTTTATAAATATCTTAATTAGCGATATTAAAACAAGAATTTATTTTAATAAACGAATTTTATCTCTATACCAAGACGTAAAATTATTAATTATGGTACGTACCTTGTTAGTAAATTAGTATTCTGAGATATTGGAAATTTAATTATAAAAAAAACACAAACTTTATATCACATTATCACTTTTATTTTTAATTTGAAATTAACAATTAATTTTATATTCGACAACTTTGCATCGGTACCGTTAAAATAGGACTATAACCAACTCTATTATCACAAAGATTTTTTAAATTATGATTTCGACATGGATAATAAAAAATAAATAACATTGCTAACGTCAACAATGACATACCCAGTAGAATTAACACACACGAAATCGTTATTACAATAGACGTTATATATTTTCCGATGTACATAACTATTTTTATATAAAACGGAGTATCATCTATTACCATTTCAAGCCAAAATAATGGGAGCATCATCCCTTGGAATGGCTTATAATTAGAAACAGCTAGATTTTCCGATACTTTAAGGTTTATTTGAACCCTAAGTTTACCTTCTATTGGTACTCCTAAATATGGATTTATTTTCATTATCGTATCGTGCTTTTCTTTGGTCGGATTTAAACCGTTTACTTGTTCTAAAACTCTTTCATCAGCGTTATAATAATGTGGTTGAGAAATAACGATTGGTATTCCATAATAACAAGGTGCAATCGATCCGAATCCGTTCGGTAAACATTTTTTATTATTCGAACAATAACATTTATTATCCGATATATTGTTCAATAACAAATTTGGATCAAGACGGTATTGGTAATATTCCAACCCTCCGTTTGTGAAATTTTTGTTTTCGTACACGATATTAACAGTACGACAAAACGCTCTTCTATATAATTTTAAGGTAGTGTTTTCTTTCATATTTCTCGCAAATAATCCACCATCGAAAGCGCCTTGAATTGTGTTACAACGAGATTTTTCATCGTCGCTATATCCCAAATGTTTCAAACCTGGTGATCCGTTAAATATATTTATTGAATTCGGAAGAATTTCATCTATATCCGAATTGCTGTAGTTTAATGTTGAATTGGATAAATGTAATGTAACCGTGTTATCTGCATTATCAAGGGCCATTATCTGCAGGAAAAACATCTTTAGTTGGGTTATTAACTCAGAAACAAAGATTTTATTTTAATGGAATCCCATTAATTGTTGAAGTTGATGAATACGAGGAAACGATTTTTGTTGATAAAGATGTTTTAAAATGAATAATGACATATTTCTTTCTTTTCCGATTTCGTTTTTAAAATCGAACTTTATAAACCTGAAAAACGTAGGAATGACAATGGTTCACGTTGTTACAATAATAAATGTTGCAATCTCTACTTGTTCTTGGGCAAAGTACGCGGATAATTCTAAAAAAATTATGGGCTAACAAAAAGCAGTACCTATGATATAAAAAAGGTTTGCTTTCTTGAATAACGATAAATATTTAAGCACTTAAAAATATGGAGAAATACATTCCTTTTATACTTAAAAATAGTCAACAACGAAATAAAAACTAAAAGTTAGGTAAAAAGACCAATAGAAACAAGGTAAAAGTTTGCAATAATAAGATAAGATAAGATATAGAGATAAAACAATGTAGCTGCTACTGTTCGTCAATTTCTTGATAACAATAATAATGATTTATAGCTCAAAATAAAAATAATATAAACGGTTAACATTCTCAAATGTCAATCATATCGAATTAGAAATAACGAAGCAGTTCGTAAAGGCGCTTAAAAAAATGGTGCTTGTTTTAAGTACCTTGTAGATAAATAAAAGTACCTTGCCAAAATAAAAGAGAGGATATTCGTTGTGCCACAGAGTCAAGAATTGATGAAAACTACTGATTTTGAAAATGTGATGATTTCGGATGAAAGAGATGCCTAATATTTTTTTTTTCTATATTATGCATAGCACAATTGTATAACACCTAGTAAATACATACTAATTAGTTACTTATTTTTAACACCAAAATAAACTAGATAATGTTTTGCAGCTTTTCCCAGTGGTCCAGTCTGCTTTACCCATAAAATAGATAAATATTGTCATATTTTTACCGTTTTAAGACCAAAACACAAAAACGCGCACACTGCGATACACGGAACACACGTTTAGGGTATTATTGTTTTGGTTATAATTCCACAGTATTGCTCGCGTTTGAATCGACTAGGGCACTAGGTCACTCAATCGAACGGCTTCATTCTCTGAAGGCGACGCAGGACATTTTCGTTGTCGAGAAGCTGGATGGCCTCGATGTTGGGATGATCGTGCATTCTCTTCTCATGTTTATATGCGAATGATGCAAGTTCTGATGACACCGATGCTACTTTCAAGTCGCGATGGAGGTTGATATTTCTTATATAACAGGGTGCATTCATTATGCAACTTAGTACTTTGTTCTGGAATCTTTGACTCAGACTTGCATTTATCTTGCAGGTACAACCCCACAGTTGGATTTCGTATGTCCATTTTGGTTTTAATACTTGCTTGTATATTAGCAACTTGTTACTTAGTGATAGCATTGATTTTCTGCCAATAAGCCAATATAGGTGTCTAAATTTGATATTAAGTTACACACGTTTTTTTTTGACGTGAGCTTTCCATTTGAGTTTGGTATCCAGCGTCATACCAAGATATTTTGCGCTGTCGGCGTAAGGGACTGCATGCCATTTATGTGTGCTGGGACATAGTTTACTTTTTATTAAGTAAAGTTTATGTATGTCGATTTATTTATATTTAGTTTTATTAGCCATCCTTTGGTGCAGTTTTCTATTGAATTTTAGGCCAATTGCTGCAACTACTTCATTTTCTGCAACAGCCAAGACCGCTGTGTTATCTGCGAATGTAGCTGTTAAAGTTTCTGGTACCTAAGGAAGGTCGAATGTGTAGAGTAAGTACAGTGTTGGGCCAAACATACTTTCTTGAGAAACTCCGGCTCGTATTTCATGTAGTGGTGAATAAGCGTTTTCGTATTTTACTCTAAAATATCGATCAGAAAGATACGATTTTAATAGTTTAATTGGTAATAGTGTAATTTAAACCATCTAACCAGACTTTGTCGAAAGCTTGTGCAACATCAAAAAATACGGCACAGCAGACATTATTTTTTTTCATTGCTATTTCGATAGTATTCGTTATTCTATGCACTTAGTCTATTGTTGCATGTTTATTCCGAAACCCAAATTGATGTGTTGGTATTAGGGCTTTTTCTTCTATGACAGGTTTTAGTCTTTTTAATAGTAATTTTTCAAGCAGTTTTGATAGTAAGAGTAATGATGAGATTGGCTATATGATGTAATATCTGTGGTTTTGGTATCATTATTATTTCAGCAACTTTCCATCTGCTTGGGAAGTATTTCTGTTTAAAAGCAGCATTAATTATATCTGAAATAGTTTTGTAATCGCCCGTTTTGGTAGATGTTTCAATGACTGTTTGATCTAAAAGTTTCTTTCAGATGTTCAGCAAACAAATTAACTTTTTCTTGACTGCTCTTATCCCAATTTCCATTATTATTTCGAATTGGAGGTGTATGTGTTTTTGGAACTTTAAGCTTTCTTGTTGCCTTCCACAGAGAATAATCGGTACTGGCATCGTCAGTAAGATCTGTTAAGTAATTTTGAATATTATTATCTTTGTGGCTATCTGTTAATCATGATATAATAATGAGTCCAGCCCTAACTCTTCTTCTAAGTTTACGAAGTTAAGCGATATATTTTTCGTAATAAAAAAATCAAGCAGGTCCGGAATCTTACTTCTATCTGTAGGCCGGTAAGTTTGCTTCCCAGTGGAGAGCTCCTCACAATTTAAGGCCTCTATTGCATGGTTCAGTTCTCTTCCTTTTGTATTTGTCAAGCGAGAACCCCAAGACATATGTTTCGCATTAAAGTCTCCTCCAAATATACATTTGTTGTCAAGATGTAGTAGAATTTCCTGATAATCTTCTCTTTTGAGATTATGTCTCGGTGGTATGTACGTTGCTCCTACAAATATAAAGCCATTAGCAGTTTGAAGTTTTACCACTGTAGAGACGCCTGGCTTTATTTTATTTGAATTTACTGTTTTCTTATTCCTGATGGCTTGTAGTTCCTTAATCACAATGCATCCTCGGTAGTTCGCTGGATGATTTTCACCACAGTTGAAACATTTAGCCGGGATTTCTTTGGCTTTAGTGCATTCGCTGGTCCGGTGTTAACCAGCATATTTAACACATATCGGATTTTTGTGGCAGTAAGCTTTGGTGTAGCTCCAACCTTGACACCTTTCGCACTGGGGCATTTGTTTTGCCTTTCTGTACTCTTTGATTTTGACACGCATTCCTAATATGTTTGTTATTTCATGAATTCTTGTTACATCCTCTGACGGTGCAAAATCCAAGATGTATAAAGGAAGAGACTCTTTTGTTTTATATTTTAACATTTGGGTTACTTTACAAATGTTATACTTGTGCTCCAATAGATCATCTTTGATATCATTAACATCACAACTTTTATGCATCTTTTTAGCGACAACTTTCAGATTTCTTGTTTGCTTATTTGCATAAGTTGACCAGGACAAATTCTTTTCAGTAAGCATCTTTGATGCTTCTCTGTACTTTTTTTTTCGAATTAAGATTCAGTTTTACTATGCCGTTATTTAGCGCATGTGTTAAAAATCCATCTTTAATTACGCTTTTAAGTACTTTATAAATGTCAATATATTGTTTGACATTATAAATTAATATTGGTGGGGGTAATAATACGTTTATTTTTTTTACGCCAGATTGTACGGGAAGCTTTTCAGGTTTGCTATCAATTTCCGAAGACAGTTTATATAGCGAGGTTTCAGTTTTACATTTTTTTGTGTCTTTTAGCTTGTTTTATTATCCATTCAGTCTCCAAAGCTAACTCATCTTCGTCTGTGGTATACATCACTTTGGTGGTTACTGGAGGATTAAGATTTTGTTGGGTTTTCAGACCTTCTATAATGCCCCTCAGGTCATCTATTTGTTTCTGAAGAGTAGCTTCATCATTAGTGGGTTGCTCCTCTATTTGATCGATTTCTTTTTTAAGTTCGGCGGAATGTGTTCTTCCTTTTTTTAAGTAATTTAACAGGGAGAATTCCATATCCGTTTTTGGAGTAAACTTCTCCATGTTATTAACCCACTTATTTGTTTGTTTTTATTTCACACACATTATTACGCATTCCGATTTACTTACTTCGTCATAACAGCAATTACGAATTGTTATTTATTGTTATAAATCGTGTGTATGATTTATAAAGCGTAAAATAAAACACTTGACGCACGATCGCAAAACACATCCGCTCTTTAGCGATACACAAATCGAACTAAGCATTCAATAATAAAGCTACTAATTATAAGGTGTTAGTCGCTGTGATGCTAAAAAAACTTCAAAAGATTAGGTTGTAACATGAGTGAAGTTGCACTATTTACATTCTCATTTACATTGGTTTCTTGACAATTTCGGTGATGTTAGCAAAGAGCAAGGAGAGCATTTCCATCAGAATATAAATAATAAGAATATAAATGGTATCAGGGAAAATGGTCGACATCTATGCCAGCCGACTATTACTGACCAACGATTTCTCAACAATGTCTTGCATCACATTGTTATGCAGAAATCGATGCTCCAGATCTAATGCGATTGGTTCTTCTTTTACAACCTAGGCCAATATCGTATCATTCAGAACAATCAACCCAACAACTTACTAGAACATCAATGAAATCAGATTTATCATTTACACCAATTTATATGGAATGATATAAATGGAAAGATAGTATCAGGAAAAATGGTCAACATCTACGCTAGCTGACTATTACTGACCAACGGTTTCTCAACAATGTTACACATTGTTATGCAGAAATCGATACTCCAGATCTAATGCGATTGGTTCTTCTTTTACAACCTAGGCCAATATCGTATCATTCAGAACAATCAACCCAACAACTTACTAGAACATCGATGCAATCAGAGTTACACCAATTCATATGGAAATTGTTGGAAGCAATAAACAACCTGCTTCATCCGTTTATAAGCCAGTACCGAAAAGACAATGGTAATAAGATGAAATATGTAATAAGGAAAATGAAAATAGGCAGATCCAACCTACTGATCAATAAAACCGTTGGAATTCAAGAAAACAGTGATTAGACAAAGTCAACTATGAGTTATACCATCAGCTTAAGGAACCAGAGCCATGCAATTACATCATAATCAAAATAACAATGAGTTCTGTCATGCTTTGAAATTGTTCTGATATTCTTGGAGTTCATCTCACATCTTTATCAGTTATGATATGACCAAGATATTTTATTCGAGGATGAAAAAAGAAAGACTATCCAGAATGCCAATAACCAGAAAAATGTAAAAAAGGAAGGTCATTGAAACGATGGGACGGATGGCATTGATGCAAAAAAAATGCTAGAATGTAGGAATTGGAAGAGAGAAGCAAGAGATAGGTTCGATAGCGGACTGTAGCACCATAGGAGAAGAGAGAAAGGGCAATTAAAATTAAATTGGAAAAATGTGAATAAAATATCTTGGTCATATCATAACTGATAAAGATGTAAGATGAACTCCAAGAATATCAGAACAATTTCACAGTTTCCAATACCAAAAACTAGCATTGGCAAAAGTTTCCACAGCCTTTTTGAAGAGGAATAAAGAAAAAAATTATCATAAGTTCTTTACAGATACATTTGTTATTGAACAAGATGCCGTACCTTCTCAAAGTTCAATTAAAGGAGATAAAAACTTATGAACAGGGATAATAGCCAAAAAGAAGATAAAAATTGACACTCCAACAAACTAATCTGATGAGAACCAAGTTCCTAAATGAACAAAGACTCATTTCTTAATCTTTGTTCATTTACGAACTTGGTTAATAAAGGTATTGATGTTTGGGATACCGTACAAAACTAAATAGAAAAAATTTATTAATCAACTATTAATTAGAAATTAATTTTATAAACAGAGATGGATGCAAAATTCGCTTTGTACGCATTCCCATTGTAAATCCACTCCGTCTTATATTTAAACAATTTAAAAATTATACAGGGTGATTCATAAGTAATGGGCCAAATTGTAAATGTACGTTCAGGAGGCCAAAATAATAATATTTTCATTAACAATAATGGGTCTTAGTCTGCTCCTTACTGAGATACAGGATGTTAAAGCGAAAAAAATAAAATAGATTTTTGTTAATAGATCAGCTACTTTTCTACATAATGACTCATAGTTGACTTATAGTTTTTGTAAGGGTAAACAATAATGTGTGAGAGGATTTGAGTTAACTCGTAGATGTCGCCACATGCGCCATATGAATTAGATGAAATCAGCTACAAATTTTTTATCGCTCATTATTTTACAACATACTTGTTTAATTTGGATAGCCCCATCATTTCTGTAGAAAAAAGCTATACTTCTTTGATCTTGAAAATATTAACGATTTTCGAGATATTTGAATTTTACTAATTCACTACACTACATTTCACGGTGGTCGACGTAGCATTAATCTGTTAAGACACAAGCATGGCATGGAATGTTGACATTTACCTAACCGTAATTGATAATTGATAACAATATTAAACTGAAACCATAAAAAAATTACGTAATAAAACAATTTATTGTACGCCAGTTAATAAAACGAAATACAACATTAAAACAGACTTGAACTAAGACCACTTACGACAACTGTTATCAAAACCTACATGTTAATGTTGTGCGAAGTTAAATTAAATTTAAGCTTAATTATGAGCTACTGCAAAAGGTTTTCAACATGACCACCACCAGCATTTATACACGCATTTAACCGTTTGGTTAAGGATTGTCTGACTTTAAAAAATGTAGCAGGATTATTTCGTATTGAATTGGCTGCATCTTGAATTCTATTCCATAACTCGTCTCGTGTATTTATAGTAGGTTCAGCATAGACCATTGATTTCATGTAACCCCACACATAAAAATCAAGTGGATTAAAATCGGGACTGCGAGGTGGCCACTGAAATTCACTACCACGTCCAATCCAACGGTGAGGGAATGTTTCATTCAGATGTTCGCGCACAGCACGTGAAAAATGTGGAGGAGCACCGTCTTGCATGAACCACATATTTCTTCTTAGTTGTAATGGAAGATCTCCCAAGAGGTCGACTAAGTCATTATTTAAAAAAATTAAATATGACTCTCCATTTAAATTAGGAGGTAATTCAACTGGGCCCAGTAATGTATTGCCTATTACACCGCACCACACATTTATTTTAAACTCGTGCTGGAAATGTCTATCTTTTTTTAAACGAGGGTTTTCGGTTTCCCAGGCATGACTATTTCGCCAATTAAAAACTCCGCGTCTGGTAAAGGTTGCTTCATCCGTGAAAAGAATGTTATTTAGGAATGTTGGATTATTATTCAATTTTCCTTTTAGCCACTGACAAAATTGAACTCTGATTCGATAATCTGTTGGAAGTAAATTTTGCACAGGTATAAAATGATAGGGATATAAATTTTCCTTGTGTAAAATTCTAGTCACGGATGGTTGGCTTATTCCAGTTGCTGCAGACAATCGACGAGTGCTTATTTCAGAATTTTGCGCAATTCTTACCAAAATTTCATCTTCTTGCTGCGGAGTGATAATCTTAGGACGTCCTGTATGATATTTTGGACGAAATGAACCTGTTTCACCCAATCGATTATAAATATTTTGAAATATCTTCCGGTTTGGCTGCCTTCTGTAAGGGTACATTTCACGATATTTTCTGGATGCTGCTTGCCCAGAAAAACGTTCTTGTGCGTAAACGCATAACATGTCTCTCATTTCTTCGTTTGAAAAGTGATTATGTCTCGGCATTTTGATTTATGTTAGGACAAGAATGAATCAGTTTACTTAACAATAAAATGTTTTAAACTATTCATTAAACGTAAAAGCTCATTGACGTTTCATAATTCATATGGCGCATGTGGCGACATCTACGAGTTAACTCAAATCCTCTCACACATTATTGTTTACCCTTACAAAAACTATAAGTCAACTATGAGTCATTATGTAGAAAAGTAGCTGATCTATTAACAAAAATCTATTTTATTTTTTTCGCTTTAACATCCTGTATCTCAGTAAGGAGCAGACTAAAACCCATTATTGTTAATGAAAATATTATTATTTTGGCCTCCTGAAAGTACATTTACAATTTGGCCCATTACTTATGAATCACCCTGTATAGACAAGAAAATTTATATATTTACACAATAAACAAAAATCTTTATCAAACAATTTTATTAATAGCAAACATCGGCCACTCCATTTGATGAGCTATATATTTATATTATTCTCTCATTAACGAAAAATATGTCACAATAATTAATTAAAAAGTGAAACGAAAATCCGAGATATTGTAGACGCGATTCTAAACTATTTTAATTACTTTGGAATCGAATTTCTTGGGGAAATTCGTAAGATTCCATTCCATTTTGCTACACATCTTAACATATATGGTGTCTCAAGAACGATCATAAGATACCAGCGGGAGGAAAAATGCGGGCAGCCGCTATTGCATAAAACAACACAATTAACAGCGTAATTAGGATGACGCAATTTGAAGCTTTATTAGGACATACTAAAAGAAGAAAACGTTTATATCTATTTTACAATGTATCACTCTATCAAGATCTTATAGAAAAACGCTAAAAGTTAATGCTGTTACACATGCGGTACAATTAACTCTATTTCATTCAAGTTAACCAATATTAGTTTCTCAAAACCCTAAAATTGGAATACCAAAACACCAATAGGATTTTCGAGAGTACGTGATGTTCATGAAAATCGACTATTTATTGACTTACATTAGAGTTATTATCCTTTGGTAAAACAGGAAGGCGTAATAAGATACAAAAGCACTACTAATTAGTAAATTAAGTTTAGTATTAAAAGGGGTATCCTTAAAAATGGAGCGAATCTATTAAGATAGTTATCACTGTATGATATTCAAAATGATCTTCAAGGCGTTTGGACAAAAGGAACACGTATTTCAAGCGATTACAGAACATTTTTAGTACTAATTTCTATCCAAAGTGACGACATTTTTAACACGATACTTATATAAAGAAGTGTAAAACCTTCAAAACAGTTAAATTCATTTTTCGGTTGGTAGCGCAATGTTAATATTCAATTTAGTGGTGGTTCTAATACTTACCCTATCCAAAATTCCAAATTTAGTGAAATCAATCCAAGACGGAATGTAAGTACTAGCTAATGTTACCAAAGGATCATCATATCCAAATAAATAACTGGATGGTGTTAAATGCTCTATGGGTTTACTCTTGACCATATTTGCAACCGATGCAAGTCCTAAATTTATGACGTAACCGTAATTATCTTTTAAATAAGATGAAATACCCTTAAAATATTTGCAAGTTTTAATAATTATTGTGGATCAAATAGTAAAATGTAAGTTTTTACCAAAAGCGGAATATTTGGTGTTATAATTAAATCTTCATATGGATTATTTGGTGATAAATCCTTCCTAAAAACCAATTCTCTTTTTGGTTTATACGTCAAAGTGTTGTTTTTATTTAAGTGTCCATTAGTATTCTTTAATATTTCCCTATAATTTTATATAAAGCATTTTCAATCACATAAAAATAATAATTTAGATATACTCACTGATAAACATACGGCCCTACTTCAGTTACATTTAATTTTTCTTTCCCGGCAAGAAATCGTCCACTATTCGTAATGTTAAATATATAAACGTTAACAAGAATTTCATATGGAGGAAAAGTCCACAATTTATATAAAATAGATCCGGGTTGTAATGTAAGAAGCTTAAATTAACGGAATAAAAAAATTTAGTTAGAAATATGTAGTTGTAAAAGTGTAAAAACATACCTTATCTATTAATATTTGAATTGGATCCAAAGCATAAATTAAATAACCAAGTATTGAAATACATCCACCAAAAAGTGCCAAAATTAAATACTCTAAAAGTAAATTAATGCATAATAATAACAAATTTAAATAATAAGGTATTAAAGATATTCTCAGATAAAAAATCGGTGACAGAAAGAAAATTGAAACTTAAAAGATTAATCACTTAACCGTACTTATTTTATGTAGTTGTCGACCTTAGAATATCTGCCACTTTACATATTATTACCGGAAGATACCTTCAATACAACATTGACATAAAGAATTTTTTATTTAGTACTTAATTAAAACTGTGATTTCTCATAATGGATTTTCCCACTAGAAAAATTTTAATTAACAAAATACCAAATCAATTAAATATGTTAATTAATCGTAGTAAAATTAATTTAACGTCAATACTATTTACATTTCTTTGGAAGATAAAAACATTTAAATAATACTTAATCATTTAAAAAATTGCCTAGTTAGTTTAAAGTGTTCATTATTAGGCTCGTTATCGTTGTTAATTTTGTGTAATTTTTTTAATTAACTAAGTAAATCATTAATTACTTTTTAAGACTTGTTTTTGACCTTACATATCGAATGTATTCTAACATTAGCAACGAAAAGTAATAATTAAGAATACTTCGTATACGTATAGCCAATAAAAAACATTAAAGAATGTGTTTCATATTAGATTAATTAATACTATCGTCTCTAAAGACGTACAAGTGTGTTTAAAACAAATATGTGACATTTTTAAAAATAACTCATCATTAAATTTCTTCTATTAAAATTATTAAGTATTGATAATAATTGATGTTTGATTTATGATTTATGAGTTGGAATAATAATTGAAGTACATATGTTCGCCTTGTTGCTCAATTATTACGGGAGGTAACATGCCAGTTGTGATAATTAATATTTAATAGTAGCGATAAAATACAGTAGTTACTATAAAATAAATATAAAAATGATTAATTTCAAACACAAATATTAAATCCGTACTAAATGTACTTTGAGGTAAACGCATTTTGAATGCTTGTGTCAAAATTATACAGTAATTTAATTTCAAAATGCGAAATAGTATTTGAAATACTAAATACTAAAGTATTTCAAATCTTTTAATACAGAGTTTTAGAACTTAAAGGTACTAATACGTTTTGGGTCTTTAACCAGGATCATCTGCATATTAATAACATTATATTGATAACATTACAGTAACAATCGATATGATGTTTTCAAACATCAGGTGTGTTCAAACAATATCTGAACTATCTTCGAAGGAAGAAAATAAACTATGTTAAAGAAAAGGAAACTTGCAAGACAAAAGGAAAAAACAGGACCCGATTGTACTTGTCGTATAAAATCGATTTCACTCTCGAGGAAAAAAATGTAATAGCAAAACTTTATAATGGCCGTCGAAAAAATAAAGGATATACCTACTTATAGGCATGCCTACTACATACCTACTACATACAGCCTTATTGACAGAAAAAACATTGGCATACATTGAACAGTTTTTGCCAATTCCAAGCAGATAACATCATATCACGCAAATAAGAGTTCAAGTAGGATTAAAGTTTGTCGAAACGCTTTCTTGAGTCTACATGGAATATCGAATAAGTCCCTACAGCGTCTTTATTGAAAATACCCCGACTTGAGAAATGTCGTAAAATATATGTTCTACTTGAAATATTTCAGAGAAAAGTTTAGCTTTTGCGTTGAATGCTAAAGAAAAGTCCATTACTATCAATAAAACTGCAAAAAAGGTACCAGGTCGTAACTACTTGTGCACGGAAACGAGCCAAAAAGTTTTATAGTAACATTCCAGAAGTAACAGAGATGTGTAAATAGAGAGATCACTGCCTTTTATACCAATGCAGAAAATGTTTTATAACAGAAAATTGCGATGTTACATTTTCAATATTCATGATGTGGATCCATCTTCTATACATATACAGAAGAAGACCCAAACGAACTTTACACTGCTATAGGCAACTTTATTGGGACTATTATACCTCCACAGGCTACAACTCTTCGTGTCTTCATTACTGCTTGCACTGGGCAAAATAGAAATCATACTCTAACGAGATTGACCATAATAGGTCGGTATCACAATCGTATTCGCAGGATGGACTTAATCTATTCGCCAGGGAAATATGTTTTTGAATAATGCGTATTATCTGTACATTTAAAAATTAAGCAATTTAAAAAATCTCATTAAAAGGGATTACATAAAAATTACATTTGTAAATAAAGTTTTAACTTATAACTACCTTTTTTGTACACATTAAAAGGATTTCGTGAAGGTTACGAATTGACTCGATGTTATACAGAAATTTATCGCGGCGTTAAGTCATTAAATGTAATCATGAAATTAATGCAATCTAAATATTTAAATTTTATCTCTATAATTATTTTGTCATTTTATGAACTTTTATGTTCTTTTTACATTTCTAATTTTTTATAATTTATTTATTTATTTACCTTCATATATAGGTCGAGGCCGTTGTATGGATGTTTTTTTAAATAAGGATTATCTAACTTCTCTAAACAGCTGATTAAAAATGTTTTGACTAAAATTTAAAACTTACTTTCAGAAATTAATCATTAACTAATAACTCAGCAGAAAACCGATTGTTTCTAGATTGCTCTAAGTAAAGCCACAAAATCTATCTATTGCATAATTTATGGAAGCACAACGTTAGGTTTTTTCCGGAAGAATAAATTGACAAAAATTGATTAAAATTGATTCATTAGTAGCAATCTGGAATTTGTTTGGATCTATCCAACGGTAAATTCTGAGAGTAATAGGTATAGCAAACAATACGAATGACCAAATCGTCAGCTGAGAAAATGTCTTTTTTAATCCTTTATATCTTAGGCTTGGCATAATGAAATAGTATGTCAAGGCACCGAATGCTAAAGGTCCGATCCACTTAGTTTTTAATGTCTCTGCTTTCACTTTCGAGACTATCAAAGCAGATGTATAAAATGAAATTAAAATGCTAATACTTGTACGATATGAAGACTGTGTCAGAAGATGACTGGACACAGTAGGAAAGGCCGATAATTCACAAACACTGTCTTAGAAGGATGAAGAAAAAACAGAAGAGCCTTTGCTTTTGTTTCAAAAAAGTCCATTAACATCACTCAATTTTTGAATGTTGGGTTTCTTCCTAACGTTGAAGATAGCATGGAAAACGGTTCTAATCAAATGAAAGAAAAGTGATCCGCAAGAGACATCTTTAGGAAAAAAACGTCGTTTATTAACTTTTACTATTTCTGAAATGAATGATAAATCTCAATATTCAATAAAAAAGGATTTAATAAGTTCGTTTGAAGAAATCGGAACTGACCCTCTAGATCCTGAAATAGTTTTCATGAAAATTCCGTTTAAACACGTTTTAAGAGATATAAACGGTTCTATAACGATCGTTCTAGTTGATTATTTGAAACAACATAGATTCAGTGCAGAACCATCACGGAAGCAGGAAGTAGTAGTGATTCAGAGGTAAATAAGGTAATGATCAATACACACAACTACGATGAAGTTGTTCCAGAAACCGAGAATTATGAGGCGAGAGCTGGAAAAAATCTACGATGGATCAAGAAAAATTATATATCGGTATGTAGTTATTGTCTAAAATGTTGGTCAAAACGAAGTAGAAAATAAAGAAATTGTGATGTTGTGTCTAAACTGTACAGATTCAATCAAAAAAGTATTTAATGTTTAAGAAGATGACAAATTTGTAGTTGACCTAATTGACATACATGTACCGTATTTTCTCGAATCTTATCTGCACTCGAATCTAATCCGCACTCCGATTTTAAAAATGCATAGTGGTAAAAAAATTTTGTTTGCGAATGTAATCCGCATCTTTCTTTGAGCAATTCGACAACACCAAAACGATGCGATGCTTGTTGTTAACCATAAATATATATTTTTTCCGTTGACTGACGC